GCAGCAAGAAAGCAAAATCTGATAGAAAAATGGTAAGTTGCTTGTAATAGTGAGACAACAGAAAGTATAATCTTAAAGTTGTGTACTACTGTAAGGTAACTTACATTGGTTTGGTTTATTTTGTCTTTAATTCTTAATAACGAAAGGCACTTTGAAATAAGTCCACACTGTTTTCCAACAGGATCGAGACTTGGTATAGTTACAGTAATAATAAAATGGACATCACACACATTGTTAATTAGATAAATAGCATAATACCAAATTTGGGAAATTTAATTCTTTAAATTTTGCCTGAAACATTTCCCATGGCATGCTGCCTCATATGTAACACAAGTGAATTGCTATAAGTAGCACCATTCCTGTTGTCTGTACTCAGTTCTCAATGGGTATTAGTTCATGTGCACATTGGGGGGGGTGTATGATTAAAGGTGTCCTGCCTCTTTTCCCTGCTACAGTTCGAATCTGAAAAACATAAGGGCTGTCAATTTATATACATCCTAAGTGCTAAGAGAATGTTAAAATGGTACAGAAGGGAAAAAAGAAATTGTAAAGAGTGGTCAACATACACAAGTGTCAAAGTTAAACTAATATCCCTTTTATGGTTTTAAAAAGGCTGACTTAGGGAAATCGGCAACTTTATAGATTTCACTATGCACGCAATATATCGTGTCTGGTTTATATGCATTTCATGTGCCTTATCTAACACGGTGGTGAAGTCATCGCCAAGATCTCTGCAAGATACAGTGAAGTCCTTCTTGAGAAGCTAACAATCTTGCACCTTTTGTGGATTATAAAGGTTCATTACCATTTTCACTGAACCTGTCATGAGCCAGCCAAACCTTTTGAACATCAAAAATAACACATTTGTATAAGAAACGTGGCCAACAAAAGTCAGCATGATAAAGAATGAATGTATCATACCTTTGCAGCAGTTTCATACAAGATTCTAATTTATTAATTGTTTTATGTCTGTATGATCTGAGGTTTTCACAGCAGTGAGTATGAAGATTTCTGTCTTCTGGGTTGTTGCGCTGTGTCTGGTCGATGGTTGCAAACACCGACCAGACTACACAGCGCAACAACCCAGAAGACAGAAATCTTGCTTTATGTCTGTCTGCATTGTAGAACAAGTTGGGAAATATATGCTACAAAACATAATTTTGGTTATGTCTACAAGAACCTGATGTTTGTGATCAGCACCTGTGACATCAGAGTTGTCTGGAGTCAGTGACTTTTGTGTGGGCAGAGCATCTAACTGGCTGATGATCGTAATGGGGGATTTTCCAATGTGGTTGAGAAGCTGGCTGGGGATTCTCCATGCAACCAAAGTAAACATGAGATTCCCCAACCAGACACTTCTTTGCATAAAAGTGCATGAAGGTTTTCATGTAAAGTGTCCGTTATTGTTAACCAAAATTGGAATATGTTGACAAATTTTAGTAAAACTATCCATTACAAATTTCATGAAAATCTATTTAGCATTTCTCAAGTTATTATATGGGGACTTACAGGCAGACAGATATGGCAATGTTAATAGATGCAGTGTTTCATTATGAATGCACCTAAAAAGGTGTGTAAAACATATTTCTTCCAGCTGCAGTACTTTGTAGATATGCGCACAGTGCGTGCAATCGGAGGAAATGGAGGTGATGGTGCTATCTCATTCCTTCAGCTGTGGGCCAATGAGACGGCAGGACCAGATGGAGGGGATGGAGGGCATGGAGGACATGTATTGTTTCACGTCAGTGATATTCCAAGCTTGGCTTAAAATAAACTAAACAAACACTATCACATCAACACTGTAGATCAGTGTTTTGCAGCTGGTGTGGTGCGACACATGCTGTGCTGCCACGCAGTTTCATAAGTTTTTATAAGGAATTGTATATTCATATGTTATAGTTAGAAAAAGGCAATATCTCATCTTTGTGATTAGAATTTGTAATACACACACACACACTGGTTCATCATCGATAGTTTCAAGGTATTATGTTTTGTTTTCATACACCTGCACACTTACAGGGCAAGGATTTAAATATAGATAAATATTTAAGGCCATATATAGTTTCATACCCCCTTTTTATGATTGAATTTTTGTGCTGTGCCAACACGTGTCTTTGATAAATCAGGGTATGCTGTGGATGTAGAAAGTTTGTAGAACATTGGTGTAGTAAACCTATACATTTTCTCACATTTTTATGACACCACACTGCAACAGAAAGTGATATCATTATAAAGGTAAGAATGGGCCCATGTCCTGCTTCATGAATCACAGCATACAAAGGAGGTAGGATGGTTCATGTAGTTTTAGGCTGTCATAGCTTCCCACCACCTGTCTAGTCGCAGATGACTGTTATTGTATTATGAACTTTGAATAATAACTCTTTAATTTATATTGTGGCTTTGTATGGTATCAACAGTCCATTGTCTGAATGACAACAGTAGTTCATAGCTTAAAATTACTGTTAAGTAAATCAATATTAAATCTACTTAGGGACTTTGGATAGAATGTAGATGGAAATTTTTTTAATATGCTGAAAAAGAACTGGCATCACAAGCAATTAGTAACATGAACCGTGTCTACATGCATGAAAGGTGGGCAATAGTTTTGAATGAAACGAGTATGGGAAAGATATGGAATTGCAGTTTATATTTAAAAAAGGTACCTTTGTTGGTTATTTTACCTTCTGGCATTGTTTCTGCTACAAACTGGGCCAATGGATGGAAAATGTCCATTTATTTCTATACTTCCTTTCCCTTCTTTTCAGATTTTGGATGCAGTAAAATTCACATACTTCTGCTACTTCCCTAATATTGTTACTACATGAGTGAACAGATTCTTAACTATGTTACTCTGAAACCTTTCAGCTTTCTACTCCTAACTTTCCTCCCAACCCTGTGTACCATCTACCAGCTCAGGGTTGTTGAAGAAAGTGAGTAGAATACTGCCTACTGTTCTACAGGATGATATGTTAGGGAAAAGTAATATTTGCTTCAGATAAATCACAAAGTTTTTTTTAGGCAACTAAAGATGTACGGGACTTACGCCACTTGACATCAGTTCTCAGAGCTCCAGATGGAGAGAAAGGTTATAATAAGGACTGCCATGGGAAGAGTGCTTCTCACACTGTAATACAGGTATGAGATAGATGCGACATTATATTCTGTTTGTTTGCGAGGACAGTGTATGTTTGTCTCCCCTCAGATTCTGTTTACACTTTTTGAGTATAAAGTTCTTCTCAACTGAAGCAGTACAGAAATGGCTGAGAAAATTTAGAGAGCAGTTCTGTATGCTGCTTATGAGTGCCTGCTGTTCAGTGAATAATACAAGCCTGTGTGGTCTGCTGATCAGACGTGGCTAGTTGCAAGATCAGGCTTATATGAATGGGGTTCAGATCTGACCAGGACTTTTATTTTTCTGAATGTCTACAAGCTATATACTCAACTGAAACCATTTTCACTTTTCTGTATATTGTGCATGCTTTACAATACACTTGGTTCACCTTTTGGATAACTTGGGGGATTCCAACAGTGAAGAATTCTACTACTAAACAGATTTTGATTAAAATTGATATTGGGAGTCTATACTAAAAATTGCTGGGCAAACTTTATTTTGAACTATACTGGTTCACTATAATCTCTGCGTTTCACAAAAAATGTAAAATGGCAGACAGATTTAGAAGTTAGTATTATTCTTGCGGGTCCTTTTGCTGTAGCCAAAATATAATGCTGAGCAAAACAAAATCAATTTTGTGAAGTCAGTGTTTTACTGTAATAGAAATTCTCTATATTGCTATGTCCAGTGCCTATAAACTGTGACTTTTTCCTTTGTACAGGTTCCTATTGGCACTATAATTAAGTCAAGCAGCGGGAAAGTTGTAGGTGACCTTAAAGATGAAGGCACCACATTTGTGGCGGCACGTGGCGGGGCCGGAGGCCATGGGAACCATTTCTTTGTATCAGACACACATCAGGCTCCAAACATTGCAGAGTATGGGGCACAAGGAGAAGAATTACAGTATGTGCTGGAAGTGCGCACCATGGCACATATCGGACTGGTAATGAAGAGAGTGCATACAGTGAAAAGTCTTTTTAAGAGTCAAGAATTTGGGAATGTATCTGCAATGATCATTTGCTTGAATCTGTCATCTTAGAAGATAAATTCTGAATTAATTATACTGTCAGTAGCTCACATATATTGTTGAATACAGGATGATTAGCAAATAAAGAAATGGAATATTTACCTGGAGGGACTGACTAGCTAAGTGACTAAATTTCTCAAAGAGACTCTGTTGCATGGAGTTAGTTATATCACACTATAATGATACATGGAAAAACCTGCTTGGGACTGAGTGACTTATTTCTGTCCCATAAGCAGGAAAACAAAATAGAAGGAAAGAGAATTGTGGAAGTGCTGAAGATATCACAAAGACAATGCAAGAATCAGATGTCAGTCAGTGTCAGGAGGTGCTTTTACAGGTGGCAAAACTGCTCATCACAGTTGCACAGTGAGAAGAGTTATTGATGATTGTAGTATCAGCACTTCACACAGATATAACATGATTTATTTCTGTTGTATGTGGACCTTATTTTATTCATTTTTTTAGACTCTGTATTTTGATTTTCAGATAGGGTTTCCAAACGCTGGAAAAAGCACTTTACTTCAGGCAGTTTCACGTGCACGACCTAAAATCGCCCCATATCCGTTCACTACATTGAAACCACACTTGGGCATAATACAGTATGATGACTATGACCAGATAGCAGGCAAGTGTTATCAGGAGATTAAGATAAATGAACTGATTTAAATAAAGCAGTGTTTTTATTCTCGCTTTCTTTTTGTGGTGCATATTTTGCCAATATATTTATGATTTTTTGTTTCAGAATTACACTAATTAATCTCTCAGTGTAATGTAATTGTGTTTCTGTATGCCACTTCATAACATCCCTTGTTTCAACAGTTGCAGACTTGCCTGGTTTGATTCCTGGATCCCACAAGAACCGTGGTCTGGGAATCCAGTTCCTGAAACATGCAGAGCGCTGTGCAGTTCTGCTGTTCATGTTGGATTTGGCCACTCCTGAACCCTGGACTCATCTGGAAGTACTGCAGTTTGAACTCTCACAGTTCAGTCCTGAACTCTTACAACGTCCTCAGCTGGTTGTTGCAAACAAACTGGATCTACCAGAGGCCAAGGTGATACCTTGCACCTATAATAGTACAAAAGCATCCTCATTGAGAAGAGTAATCTTTCAAGATGGTAACACTATTTATTACAACAAACTCTCTGGACATTATCCATCATCTTGATTTTTGTTGAAAATACGCTTTGGAGACTGGACTCATGTCGCCGTCCTCCGATAAAACCTAGAGACAATCCCCATCTCCGAAGATAGGGACTAGCTTTATTGATTAGACCCAACAGAATAGGTTTTACCTGAGGATGCAGACAAGAGTCAGGTCTCTGAAAAGTCATATTTCTTAACTAAAATCAAGATGATGGAAGATGTCTAGAGAGTTTGTTGTTTTAAAAATACACCATTGTCACAAACCTTCAGATTTACTATTTATCAGAGTTCCATGGCTGATTTTATGCCAGTGCTGCATGGGAGTTACTTCATAAAAGTACAGTAAAATTGAGGTATAATGAACTTTTGTGGATTGACAGGTTGTATTCATTACAGTAAAATGTTTCTATAATAAAAGGAAATAAACTTGAGTTTCATTGTTTTTACAAAGATCATTGTATCTTTGTTGACTAACTGGCATATTCTCTGTTTGTAGCAATAGTCAAAAATTTAAACAAAAAAATGTTCATATGATCATGCTATTATAATATAAACTATAATGATTTTAACATTTGCAGGATTATGTCAATTATTGTGTGTTCTTTGTTCAGGGTCACATACATGAAGTATTTTGAGGAAGTTTGGTATGAACTACTAATAAATAAACCACATTTCAGGAAAAAAATACTTGAATTGCTGTAATGTACAGAATTGTTTTGAAGTTTGATTTTCTTGTGAGCAAGATCAGAACTGTTGATTTCAAATGTATAGAGCCAAACCTTTAATCATTATGTTGTGAATCAGTAATTCTTTGTGCTCAGTTGGTACCTCACACTGACATATATTTCTCCTTCATAGGTTAACCTCACTCATCTGCAGAGACAAGTTAAGCTTCCTGTAATTGCTATTTCTGCAAAAATGGGAATAAACCTTGAAAAGCTGTTAAAGGTCATTAAAGAAACATATGACAAAAATATTAAGACTGAAGATGAAGAGTGATCTTACTGACTGTGAAGTGACAAGAAGATGTGAATAATTTCTAACAAAGTAGTGTGGATTTTTGCATTGTGATGTTGGCCATTTATAGCTGAAATTCATCTTTATGAGCTGCTATTTAAATATGCTGTGTATTCTAGTGTTTAAAAACAGCCAGGTTTAAATTGTAGCATAGTAGTGAGGAAGTTTATCTGAATTCTTTTCCTTTTTGTTGAACTAGGATCTCAAAACAAAAAGTACTTTGTTAAGAATAAATCCATTTGCTTCTATTTTAATTTTTCCAGATTTAGAATAACTAGTCTTGTTATATGCAGTTTTACTTTACATAAATTTTTAGTTATCCCCATGTTTCTTTTGTATGTTCTAAGTAAAGGAAAATTAATGTTAAGGTGTAGCATGGAAGCTATTGAATAATTTCTGAAGACAACTGTACTGTATGTCAGAAGTGATTTCTGACTCTTGCAACAACCATTACAGTTTAAAATAACATACTACACATTTCAATGCATGCATCAGTCTTATTCTTGCACTACGCAGATAACCTAACTGCTACAAACTAAAAAATTAAACTGACAAACGAAATTGATTATGACATCCGCAAATAGAAATATCAAAATAAACTGAAAAAAAGATGATTATTTAATCAGTTCTAGACATCTAATCTGATGCTTAAGAAAATTCAGATGAAACAGACAGAGAGTTATAGATGGAACAATGCCCCTTCAAACAGCCAACACATGGAGTGTCCAAGCAGGAGCAGCTGACAAGCCAGATGAATAGGGGTGTCCATAACCACAACTGATATTGAAGTTCTGATGATATACCACCACCACTTCCATCCCAAGGTGTGTCCAGATGGGGACAACCAACAAACTAGTGTGTTTAAGAATTGAACCACAAAATGTCTGGAGATATCAGTTCTCTGACAAATGTAGAATTGTCAATATATTCTTCATTCATATATGATGGTAATAATAGGAGGCAAACTGCATGATGATGCACAGTGGCAGAATGCTACTTGTCTATGTTCTAGCATCATATTAGTTTTATTATCGATTGCTGGAAATTAAACACTCAAATCTTGTGCTTGAGGCAGTACCATAGCTCTATACTTCAAAGATTTTACATTGGTTACCTACTTGTATACTTTGTAAGAAAATTGGTTCACGTCACTTATGCATGTTTTTACGCAATTGTAGTTGTTGAATTGCATTTGTGGTCTGATTACGGTTTAGAATTATTAGTACACGTCAAAATTTTATTTTAAAATGTATCGAGATATTACAAAGATCCGGCTTGTCAGAAATATATATGTATACATATGCACACACACGTCAAATTTAGACACGTCCAACTGCAGTAAATCAGGTACATTTGGAATTTATTTGGCTGTCACCATAAGAAAAACACGCCTCTTTTGTGCACACGTGTAGTGTCGAAAGTTAATTCACGGAGTTTAATGATACATCTCGGCTATTCACAAGTACACGTACATCAGACCGTAAATTTAATGTTCTACTTGTCTCCTTCTTGCACACGTCACTAAAAGGACAACGTCCTCTCGTCTTCACTGTACGAAGCACACAGTAGATTAATATGTGATATTAATATATATAGGAAATAAATGTTGCTAATTATCCCGATGAACATATTTGTTTGAATACCGACGTCCGAAAGCTTCAACTTAACAAGGTGAATATCTCTTAGATATATTCCAAGGCAAACCTTAAATCACGAAGACAGCACCGCCTTTCGATAAAATCTATAACGACTGACCTTCACTTCCGGGACTGACATCTATTTCACGTATTTAAAAGCTGATGTATAGGTCTTTGCACCACGTAAGGTTCGGTTTAGTGTTTTCTCCGTTAGAATTCGTGAGCTCTGCTGTCGGCCAATAGCTACTTAGATGAGTTAATGAATGAAAAAGCACGCCATCACAAGTCTACCTAGTAAATTCTTGGTGCACATGCTGCCATCTGTACGTTACATTCAAGCGTACGAACAGTTGCATATTTTTCGAAAAAGTTTTTGACCTTGCAGTTCATATTGCATATTTAATGGATGTTTTTCTTCATTTCCGTCACTTGAATGTGTTTGGATTTAACTGTAACAGCTTTATTTACGAATGATAAATTGCGTGCGCGAATCCTTACGTATGAAGCTACAACGCGCTTACATAACCATGGTCACTATCTGTTTCTTCGCCATAAAAGTCTTTCTGCGTTCATTTTGTGAATTTGAAAGTCTTATGATATACCTATACTCGTATAGGCACCAGTTAGAAAATATAAACAAACGTCTTTGTGCATAATTCCTTCTTATAAAGTTTGATGGTGTCGTGGCCGATTTCGAGTTTGTTCCACCTCGCGACTTTGATGCCGGCGTGTGAATTTATCACAAGTGTTGTAACACAAAAGAGTATTCATTGTTATTACTTACCTGTGGCAGGACATCCACACAAAATTTCAACTATTTCCGACCATCCATGGCATATTTCGAAAATTCGTGTTCACATCGCCATGTTCAGCTGACGCAGAATACCACTGTTGTGACGAGTTGGGCATCTGCACAAGTGATGTGCAGTGATGGCATGCTACTTGTCTAGGTTATGGCATCGTATTAGTTCTGTTATCGTTTACTGTAAATTAAACACTCAAATATTTCAATTTTCTTACATTGTAGAAAAATCTTGTGTTTGAGGCACTACCATAGCTTTATACTTCAAAGATTTTACATTGGTTACCTACTTGTAGACCTCGCAAGAAAATTGGCTCATGTCACTCATGCATGTTTTTACACAATTGTAGTTGTTGAATTGCATATGTGGTCTTCTTACGCTTAAGTATTATTAATACACATGTAAAAGTTTTATTTTGAAATATATCGATTGCATAATTCCTTGTTAATATAGTCGGATATTTGTGATACAGGTGCAAATACCTAAAGTACATTTTGCAATAATGTTTAAATCCATGCCAGCTCTGCTGTATCTGCATATTTATTCCACAAATAGAAACTCTGCTCTGGACTACCAGGTTTTGAAAACAAAATTTCACTTCTAAAGGTTACTGACAAAAATGAATTCCCACCGAGCTTGGACAGTACAAACATCACTTCATAAGAATGCCTGCTACATTCTGACATATACTTCAAGATATGAAGTATGTGTTTTTTACACAATAAGACAAACGTTGTAGCTACTAATGATAAAAGGGTATTATGTTGTGTACACATTTAAGTATTTTATGTTGTGTTAACACATTTCAACACAGTAATATGCAGTTTCAGAGTTGAAACAGAGATAATTCTAAGCAATAAAGTTAACTGGACTGGATTGTTTCTTCTTTTATTCAATGATTCATCATATTCTTGCTGTGTGAATATTTTGGATATAGATTAATGGACTAAATTTGCTACCTCTGGCTTTAAGTTAGAAAAATTACAATTTTCCTTACATTCGTAAGACACAAATTATGTTGGAATTTCTTATTAAATAACAGTCTCCATTACCTGGGGTAATGTCAGGTAATGGAACCATGACCAACACAGGAAAATAAAGTTCAAAAATATGCCAAATACATGTATCAAAGTGAGTCAGCACTCTCACACAAAATTGATTCATGAATGTGTACTTCAGCTTTAAGTGTGTATGTACTTTTATATTAAAAGAAATTATACTTGAATGAAAACCATATAAAATAATTGTAAACCTGGTTCTTGTCGGCCATTAAAGAAATTTAGTACATCCACATCAGCTAGACAGCCTGTGCTACACTGGACCATCTATTTCAGCCCCTCTACTGCCAGTATCTAACTTCACATTCGCAAATTGTGTGGCAATGCTGAGAACCTCTTGCAGACAGGAAATATTTGACCCTGAAGCTTGAGCTGACTCAGGTTTACCTCCACTCTTCCCTTGCATAAGACCACAGACTTGTTGAACCCACTCATTGGCCTTCAGTCCTTTGTTCACAGCATTCTGAAACACATAACAAAAATTACTACAATCTCTGAAAACAATTAATGCCATTGAAAATGATGCATTTTCCAGCTTCCTTTGCCAAAGTTAATTAATCCTTGGGTTATTTAATCACACTGTTTCAACAGCATACATTATATAGTGTAAAATGAGAAGTGAAGACAATGGATGGTAACAAGGTAAGGATTTAATAAGAGGCAGTCATGGCTTATATGAAGGTACTATCCCAGTATGTCTGAAGAAAACCACAAAAATCCGTAGTGGGTAAAATACCTGGTACCCTGGCTGAGATTCAAACTCTGCCCCAGGGTCCAAATTAAATGTGTTTTCCTTTCTGAAATTCCCTATGTGGCATCACAGTACGTTGATTCCTCTGCTCTCAGAGTGGAAATTTCATACTAAATAATCAAAAAGTCCTCTGTGAGCTTCTAGAATTGCTCATCTTGGACAAGGAACAATCAGAACACCAAAATCTTTGTTTAGTGGCTATTTTTGATCACGTGTTACAGTGAATGATTGGTGAATGTTCTGTTTGCAATGCTGTTAGGTCGTGCAAAGTCGTCTAACCAATCTGTATCTAAGTTAGATGACCACCAATGAACCAAGAATCTTCCCTCTAATTTCACAAATGCAAGCCACCTCTGTAAATCACTGTCTTGAGGTTTTTAAAATTAAGGAAAAGAGTAGTAAGGTTCTACACACAGTTGCTGATAAATATAACATACTCACTTTAGGCACTGCAGAGAGACAAACGATCTTTTTCGATTCTGAATCTACACTGAAGAACATTGCAGATGTTTCTGGAGACAATGCTTTTACTTGCTTCAGAGCCCCATCAAGTGCCTGCAAATGAAAAATCTAAATTACTATACAAATAACTAAAAAATGAGAATACCAATTTGTTATACCCTGTCTCTTCTGCAATAGAAAAGTGCTCCAGAACATGATTCTTTCACTTCCACCCCTCACATAAATTATCTCAATAAAGAAATGAAACAAAATCAATGTAACATAAAATTTGAAGTTTATTAAATCTTCAATGGCAGAAATTCAAACACTATAAAGCAGTAAACGTTCTTCTAGGAGAACCTAGAAAGAAGTCACTAACTCCTTCCAAGTTCATAACATATAATCATTTTAAGAGCCAGCATATTTTGTTCCTTTTTTTACATAAAAATTCTGTCAACTACTGCGATAATATACTACTGATACAAGCAGTGAGCTGGGAAGAAGCAGAATAAATGGAGCTACTGCCTGTACAGAGACCTTATTCTTACATTTGTGGGAGGGTGTGTGTATGTGTAAAACTAAGAAACATTCAGTTATGAACATTGGTTTACTGATTAAAATCTGAAATAGCAGCCATCTGAAGTGAAAGAGAAATTGCCAAACTGTACTATGACATTCAATAAACTGTCACCAGTTTTCATAAATCACACATCAAGACGCATGTTACACAGTAACGCAAACTCTTACTTAAGTAGTTCAAACTGTACATAAGACATTTGCTTTGAGTGAATGAGGAAAACCACACAGGACTTCAGCAAGAACAGTTGGTAACTTGTTTCAAATCTGAACCAAGTACCTCCACCATATAACCACTGTTACTACTACACCATTCTGCTTAGTACAAGAAACAATCATCCTCGGCATAATAAGACAAAACAACTTCAAAACTATAAATATTATTAAAAGACTTGCCTTTGTATTTGAATAAGCTTTCAGTTCTTGTACAATGATCGGTGTCTTTGGGTTAGCAGCAAACAAGGCTTTAACTTCTTCTACAACATCAGCACAAACTGCAGCTTTGCTGGCCCGATCCTTGTCATCCAACTGTTTCTTCAGGTGCCTCAAACATGATCTCATGTCCTCCTACACATATTAAAAAAATTAAGTATCCTTCTTTGATGTGAAGACAAATTAAATTTGCATTTTGGTTATGCTTCATAACATTACAAAATAATATTCAAATATCTACATTATTACTAAATCTGGTACACCCAGAAAACTTATTAGCCAAATTAAACACACTTTACTGTGGTCTTACTTCAGATACAGCCTCAATGCAAGTTTTTCTCACCAACACAACCACACTCTGCAATTTGCAGTAGAACAACTGTTTAGCATCAACCAGACTAAAAGTGGTTTACGTGACTAAACAAACTAGTACCAGACCTTTTTCCAATATGGTATAGTAGCATGGGAGACATCATCATTGAGTTCCACAATTTTCTTCACAAGGTCCTTGTTGCTGATCTTAACATCATCACTTTTCAGCAAAGATATCAAGTTGTTCAACTCATTTTCAAGCAACTCTGTCTTCTTCAAAGCCTAGCAGAAAAATAAATTATTTAATGAGAACTTCATGTGTCCGTACTGCAAGGACTTTCAGAAAATATGCACATACCTATCCCACAATTTATGAATTTCTGCTACAACAAACCACATATATTTATATTTTTTTCAATTTACAAACATTATTTATTTATCATTTCAGCAGTGCTTTGCAGGGTTAAGCAGGTAAAACTATCATAAAAATTAATACTGGTCTAATTTTTATGATTACATTGCCCTGATGATGGAGGCAGCAAGGATTTCTGAAATTTCAGTAATCTTCAACCCAGAAGACAGCCATTTTTGCAACTTGTGACAGCCGCTACATTATACTCAACACAGCAGAGTCCTTCTTTAGAAGCCAATAGTACACTCAGCTCGTCAAGAAATTCCTTGCATTTTATGGAACCTACTGGCTCATTACAGTGTTCTGTAAAAGGCCAATCCTGATTCCAAAGAATTCTATCCACATTCCCAAACCTTATTTCTTTAAGATCCTTCTTTTAACTACTCTCCCACCTGTTCCTATGTATGCCAGTGGTCTTCGGGCTCTGAAACCAAAATTCTGTATGTACTTCTCGTATATTTATGCTAAACACCCCACCTATCTCATCCTCCTTGATCTGATCACCTTAAAAATATCTGGTCAAGAGGTAAAGGTAAAATTACAGTTCTGAATATTTCAATCATTACATTTTCAGATAGCACATGGGAAAACAAAAGATTTTGAATTGCATGGTAACAAGCATTCACCAAATTTACTTTGCTCTCAATTTTATAGCCAGTACAGCCACCATTAATTATTTTGTTCTCCCACCATCCCATTATTAAGTAAAATCAATCTTAATGATTATCATTACACTGAATTTCATCACAAGTAAAATTTGACAACCCCTGCATCTTTATTGTGATAGCACTTTGCCACATTAATTCCACTGTGTATATACAATTCAGAACAGTCTGGAAAAATTAACCGTTGTATCATTCACCTTCAATGCTTCAGGTCCTGTAAGGGCCACAATTCTTCTAATTCCCTTGGCAATTGCTTCTTCACTTGTGATAACAAATCTTCCAATATGTCCAGCTCGATGTAAATGTCTAAATAAAGAAAATTCTACATTAGTAATTTTATAAGAATCTCCACACAACTCCATGTTGGAAATGTTAGCATGATGGTTGTCAAATGCCCTATGTGCACTGCTTCTCCCTGCTTGATCAAATGATGTATTTAACCCATACAGATTTCATACACAACCATTAAAATGAGACACAGAGTAAAGGAAAGAGACACAGTTTGTACCGATTTTTGTGACAAACCACTGGTCTCCTGCTAATGTCTGACCAAGGGTATTTTTTTTAGAAAACAGAATATGTGCAATTGTGATGAATTACTTTGCAGTCATTAGGTGAAAACAGTCACAATTTTACCATGAGTAGATTTATACAGGAACCAGTCACTGCTAGTGTCACAAGTTAATTTTCTCATGGGATTCTGAACCTGCTGGCATTCTTGCAGTCACAAATGTAAGCAGTGAATTAACAGTTGCCTAACTGCAGGTCAACCACTCACAGCTATGCACCTTATCATAGCTCTGCTGCAGCTGCACCACACATTTTGGAAGAAAGTTCTGGACATGTCAGTCTCTTGGCTTTCAGTGCGGAACACAGAAGCGTGCACCAACACTGCCCACCGACATACAACAACAACTGCACTTCTGGATTTCAAATACAATCCATTGATCAGAGAAGTAAAACTACGCAACTACATAAAGTGATGATCTTTACTCCTTGCTCCAGCAAAGCCACAGTCTTCCTGCGCAAATTACTTCGTGCACCTGCTCCGAACAGCTACTGCCAAAGTTAAGTTATTTGTAAGTTTTCATCCCTGCACCCCCTCTACCAGTTCTTGCTCGAGGGCAACAACTTGCCCTACTGCTGAAACATTGATGCTGATGTAATCTTCCACACAAAGCCATTTTACCTCTCATTACTTCATGCAGCTTCATTCATCAACTCTTAAGTGAAATAAATGATTATATATTTTATATTACTGAAATATTTGCATAGTTTGTGTGTGTTAAAAACCATAACACAACAGTTCCTAATCAACTGTGAAGCAGAACGTTACCTCGGCAGGTAAATATGTAAGAAAGAAAACTGTGATTTATATTCATCAAATTCAAACCATTAAGACAACTCACTCACGTTCCACCACAAAATTCAATTGAAGTATTGCTGCCTGCTGGTCCATATGGGTCATCCTCCAGTTTCTCAACAGGGATTCCTATAGACACCACTCTAACGGGATCTGGATATGTCTCCTCAAATACTGCACGGAGGCCTTGGATTGTCTTTGCAACAGCCAAGCTTGCTTCTTTAGCATAAACAGGCTCATTTCGATCAATCAGATCATTGGACTGAATTTCTGTAGCTTTTACTTGCTCAACAGACATGGCACCCTACCAGTGATAAACATACAAAGAAGTTTATAAATACTACATTATGATAAAGAGGTATCATTACTCAAACCATTCTCTTACAATAAATATTTACATTTTCTGAATATATACATATCTGTGTACACATATAAGAAATAAAATAACATAAATGAACAAACATGTCATTATCTGCAAAATTATGTATAAACAGTAACACTGACTTTACATTTCCAAAAAATAATACACCAGAAATGTGAGAAACCACATACAAGTTACAGCATTAATAAAAAAAAGTAAAATGTGTGAAATCAACACTTTACAACAAAACATACACATATAAAGAATATAAAAGAAGAAACATATTATCAGTCATTCATTGTCCAGAACTGGGTCACCCCTGAAGGTGTACAAAAATGACTGCATGAAGTGCATTTTATCAGTATGGTGTTAAAACTGCAGGGGACAACTGGGATGTCAAAGGCTGCACTAAAATGATCATGTCAAATCAGACAAAATCCGAGGAACACACTTTCTAGTAACATCCCACATTTCAATCTTAGACAATGAAAGAAAAGCTATTTAAAAGCCAACATTAAACAAGTAAGGTGCATACCTTGTTTGTAAAGTCAAAACGTAGCCTGTCAGGTGCTACAAGAGAACCCTTCTGATCTGCCTCTGTCCCCAGCACAGACCGCAAAGCAAAATTCAACACATGGGTCCCTGTATGGTTGTTCATAACCAGGCGTCTCCGAGATGTGTCAATATGTAATGACACCTCATCTCCAACACGGAGCGTTCCTTCTACGGTGCCAATATGCAGTATGTATCCACCTCGAATCTGCACATTCTTTACAGAGAATTCTACACTCTGCAGAAGAAAAAACAGCATTAATACAGCAGTATGACTACTTGAAATGTTTGATTTGCAAATAATTCAAAACTCAAATTTCTACTAACTTTCCGCCTGGCAACACCGGCAGGAAATGTCTCTAAAATGCAGAAAAATTTGAAGTCCAATTTCATATGGTTGCACTTCAGGCACTAGCCAAGTTACACACTGTATTGTGGCCTAAAGATGTGATTAAAAATTTCATATCACACATTTTAATTCCTTATAAAGCCAGAAGCCAAGCTGGTTTGGCTTTCCAGTAAAGCAGTTGCCTTAGAAGTAACAGATTTTGGTCTCAGGGTGGAGACTGGCTATCCTAACTGGGATATTTCATGGTTTCTTCAATCCATCCAAGCAAATGTCACGCTACATAGTTATGAGATGTTTTTTGATAAATATAGAAGATATTATCGCAATGGTTGTTATTTTATAAAAAGCAAAATTATCTTCATGTCATTATTCCTCAAAGAAACAAAATGGCAATTTCACTGTGTGTAATTTCCATTTATATTCTAACCTCATCTCCAACTTTGACTAAGAAGCCTTCATCATAAATTTGTCCTCCTTGTTCTGCATAGAAAGAAGTCCTGTCCAGCAGAACACCACACTCATTCCCTGAGGTCACACAATCCATAAACTTCTTGGAATGCCGCAGTCTTATCACAATGGCAGAACAAGCCTCAAACACTGGAAGGATTAAAGAGTAACATTATAAATTCTTAACAGTACTGCATAGAGTTTCTAATCTTTACAAATGAGACATAAACAACAGTGATGCCTCCTTCCCGTTATCACGCCTTCACCAAAAGGATTAGCAGACTCATATCCTCTATTTCACCATCCAGTTTAATCTTTTTCATATGAAATTAATCAAATAAGTGTTCTTTACACACCATAGTGGAATATGGCACAATGTTTTTAATAAGGCTGTCTCTGTCCATATATGAGTACCAGTGGAATGGCACTACAATTTACAATGAGAATGTGTGCTGTAACTGAAAGCTACAATAATACTTCAGACCGTTCACACCAATGTGAGCTACTACTTTCTTTAATGTCTACCTACTAGTGGAATGAACCAACCAAATGAATAACCAACTGACTCTCAGTACTGACATACTGTAAACAGAACCAAAGTTTAATCCAGCTAGAACCAAAGTCCACAACCAAACATGATCTTCAGTGAATTCAATAAAGTTTCCACCCTCAAAACCTATTTTCCATGGACATTTTAATACTACCCCCATCCAACCTGGAGGTCCAGACAAACTTTTATGTTTATTGAAATATATAACTGACCAAACACTCACTTACCATATTCTGCATCTTTATCTTCAGACGTAGCATGATAGTTGTACTTTGCTAAATCATTAGTTCGAGGAACACCTTGTTCTTGGAGCTCATTAATGGCATGGATATCTAAGTTAAGTTTATCATCATACCATCCTCCTTTACCTTGTGACAAAATCTGCAATTGCAGAAAAACATCAATCACACATACATGAAACCACCAGCAGAACTATTATTACTAATTTCATAGTGCATATGTAATTTAACATTGTGAAGATCAATATATAGTGTCAGACCATGCAGCCAGCTTTCCAAAATCCATAAGGCCTTAAAATCCGTATTTTTTCCCAGTGATTTCAAGGGCAGCATTTTCATATGCTTGTCATGTTTAAAACTGGTGCTTCATGGTTCTTTGATTCACCACCTTGTGCATTTTTTACATCATGGTGATACAACCCCAGCTTTTAGAGGTTCTTTTATTTCTCACAAAAACAAAATTGTGAATAATTTGACAAAATATATTAAAACATACCTCAACATACAATTTTTATTATTTATTTTGTCTGTATTAAAATTCCTCTGCATAAAGACCTAAAATCCAGAAAATCATAAAATCAAAAAAAGTCCTAGTTCCCAGGCTTTCCAGATAAGGGATCATGTACTATACCCATAATATTTTATTTCTATTTCCCACAACTCTTTCTTCCTGGGGTGTGTGGGATAGGATGTTCAATATAAAACCTCTCCTACTTACATGACAAACTTATCCTTACACAGTGCATTCTGCTTTTCACAAATGAGGCTCTGGTCACTACCACAAGGCAGCATAACCACTACATCTGGTGTACAAAGAAATGCCATTAACCTACTTAAAGAAACTGGGTCCCAACAGTAAACAATTACATCTAATGTGCAAGAAATACTACTAGCAAAGGTTAGATTACATTTAAGTATTATTCACCTGGTATGAACTGATTCACTGACAAACTGCAGGTAGTATATATATAGCCAAGCTTATTTCTTGTTTGTGAACTGTCAGATAATTGCACAAAATTGTGCAATTTTCATAAGGTTACAAGATAAACAGCTGATGTATTCTACTGCCTATTCACTGTGATTAGGCACTGATTGTAACTGTAGAAGAATGCATAATCATTATGTGATACCATGTTATGCAGGTTCCTATAGGAGCCTTAACCCTCAAGCACATTACTGATGATAGTGCCTGTAAGAACCTATACAAGAGCTCACATGATCACAAACTCTTCTATACTTATATCCACGGTCTATCTTGGTAAATGGATAATAGTAATGTGCCTTTTTAGAATAAAGAAATTTTAGTCTTAAAACAGGAAACCATTTCATGAAGCAGTATTTATTGACACAGAGGTTTCCATTTCTGTTTTCAAAGTAGTAAATATATTCATGCTTCTCAACTTCCTTACAGCTTACACTAGACTATGCATTCAATGTGAATGTCTGAATAACAAACTCCTACTTCATTATGTTAGCTACCCTTCAAAAATACCACATCAACATCAACTAAAACTTCCATTCCTTCCTACTTTCCACCTTCTGGAACATCTAAACAGCACAAAAGTTGTGTAAAATTCTTTTGAACTTTGTCCATCTAATTTATAAAATCATATGGAAAATATGATTGACAAAGTTCAAAAAAACAAAACAATTTTACATAATATAATCCAACATCATCAGAAACCTTCAAACTTCAAGCATGAAAGTCATACATTACCTGAGCCTGTTTCTTTGCATCCTCATACGCATCCATGTCAACAGCAAGGCCCTTCTCCTCAGACATCAGCTGTGTTAAATCAACTGGGAACCCGTAGGTATCGTACAGTCTCCATGCCACATCACCTTTGAATTAGACATAATATACATCCCTTCCGATCATAACTATACAAAATGATGGCTACATGCAACAGGCAGCCTCTGAACCCCATCAGGAGTCAGTTAATTTCTATAAGTATCTCCAAAATTTATTTCCCTGTGAATGTTTGTTTTCAACAAACAATCTTGAGTATTTTTTTTTGTTTCTTCCACAATTGCCACATGTGTCAATAACAATAAATATGTAATTCTTTTACTGTCCTGTTAATTCTCCTCTCTTGTCTGCATATTCCTCTATAATTTGTTCTTGAACATCTTCAAACTATGTTGTTTCTCATGAGTAACAGACCAAGTTTTATATCAATGCTAAATAATGTATCAAATTACAGTCATATATACTTTAATCTTGAAAGACGATAGGTATATACAATATTCTAAATAGACTGTTCTATGGATTTCCAAGATTTAATCTATTCTCTATTTTGTCATGAATGCAATTTCCATTTGTTGCTGCTGTTCCCAATTGACTCTACTTTGCCATGATATTCAAGGATTTGTAAATAATTCTTGTATCACATATCTGTCCTGTATTATGAACATAATATTGCATTTAGTAATTTTCTGTATTTATTCCTAAACTGAGTTTCTGTGTTATTTTCTTAAGGTGTTCACATATTTACGATTGTTAAAGGAAAAACAAAAGAGTGAAGCTATACCTGGAACAGTTTTGGAATTACCCAGCTTCACAATGGTCCGGTTGAGCAGGTTACGTCCTCTAGTCAAAGTCTTAAGGAACTGTGCTTCTTCATCATTTATCATATCTATAATACTCTGTGGATCCTTCCTAACCTGTGGAAGAAAACTAGTCAACTTAAGAATGAAATATAAAAGAATTTACTTGTTCTTAATTTTACAGTACGTGAATAACAGAGTGACATGTACTGAAATGAAATTAATACAGCAATTATGTGCATCACAATGTGTAATACTGACCTCTGGAAATGTATCCCCAAGTATCTCTACAACTGTGTTAACAAGAGTTGCAAAAAATCCAGGTTTGGCATTCAGCTTTTCTGTAGCATACCTGACAGCTCGCCGCAGAATGCGCCTCAAAACATAACTGAGGGGGGAAAAAGAGGGATAAAACTTCCAATATAGTGAAACATAAATAAAATAACTTATTACTGCTAGAATCTCTCAATACAAGCAAGATGTTTTCCAGCAAGCCTTACATTTAAGTAAAAAAGTCCCTGTTCTTAATTAAGTAACCATGCAATGAGGACTTCAAGCGGAGTGGATAGTTAGATCAATACACTTTTACGCTCAAGATGAGTCAGCTTCACAATGCAGCTGCTTAGGCCACAGGGGAGAGGTGCCAAGTACCCACAGGATAGGAGGCTGGATGGTATCCACAGCTGGTTTGAAAATAATTCCTTCCCCAGCTGGGAATTGAACCCTGGTCATCCAGTCCATAGCCAGTCAGTATACTGACTATGGTATACATATTTTTTGTTAAGCCTTCAGTACACAAAAGAATGAAAGCAATGAATCTCACTTCCACTCCTCAGCTGTCAAAGTACTCGGTGACCAAATGCATTAACTGCATTGTCATATATTATAAATACAAGGTAGTATGAGCATTTTTCTGATTTTTATAAATTCTACTTTTCTAAGGTTGCATTGTATTTTGTATTCTGCAAACAATGTCTAAGTTTGAGAATGGATGATTTCCAAACAAAACTCAAACTGAGTATTTTCCAAATAAAAGTCAGAGAAGTTATGCTCAGTATAATGAAACTGATAACACAAAAAAGTAAAGTCCTAAATTAAGAACTAACCCTCGACCAGTATTGTCAGGATGTCCTCCATCTGCCAAAGCTATGGTCAAAGTCCGAGCATGGTCTGCCAAAACACGATAAGCCATGTCCACACCATCATCATCATCACTGCCAACACGACCTCTGTATGGTGGTACCCCAGTGCCCTAGAAGCAAACATG